CCCCAAAACCCCAAAACCCCAAAACCCCAAAACCCCGGGTAGCAGATTTGTATTTGAATAAAGTTAATTAAAACTTTGACTCATTATTTGTGAACAAATTGCATTTATTGATTGTATCCTCCCCAATGGAATGCTCATCGTTGACTCTGTAGTCAGAGTAGTGCAGGATTGGTGCCGCTCTTAGATCAGCCTGAGACATATTTAGAAGATGTAGCTGATTGTTTTCTTGAGTTTGCTTGATTTCTCTAGATGCAATGGTGAAGAACATTTCTGTGCCTTCTCCATAAACTGAGTCAACAGTGATAGATCCTCCAAGTAATTCTATATATTTCTTACTGACTGTGAGCCCAAGTCCACATCTATTGGGGTTGACTTTATTTGTATCTTCGAGCATTCCAAAGAGTTTGAAAAATTTACTTTGGTCTTCTTGTTTGATTCCAGAGCCAGTGTCTTTGACTCTAAACTCAAGCAGCTGAGAGCCATCAAGTTCTCTGGTGAAGTCGACCATTATTGAAATTAATCCACCAAAAGTGAACTTGAGAGAATTAGATATCAAGTTGATCAATACCTGTCCGATCCTGTTTCTGTCTGAGTCTACTACACACCTGTGAAGGCTTTGGTGACAGTCAATATCTAGATCAATATTCTTGTTGGTTCATTGAATGATAAAGAGAGATTGAACCTCTTTCAGAAGTTTTGAGATGTTAAATCTTCATAAGTGAGAGTGAAAGTACCATTATCAATTCTAGACAAGTTCAAGATGTCTTCTACTAGAGCCAGAAGTAATTTGGATGATATATTTCCGCTTTTTAAAATCTTTTAATACCATCAGTGCACTCTTTGATGTCAGCATCATGTAGTTCTTGTGAAGAAATGTTATTTTCAATGAAGCTTTCCAAGTGGCCAAAACTCATACCAATGAAATTAAAAGAGTTCATAATAGCGTTGAGCGGAGTTCTGAATTCATGGCTTGCACTCGCAAACATCACTCTCTGCATCTTGATTCTGTTCTTGACTTCTTCTAATTTGATAATATCTGTTGTATCAATGAAGACATGCAAGAATGAAGGCTGGCCTTTCCATTCAATTTTCAGAGACTTGACACTAAAATTCGTGCTTGAGTCTGAAGAATCTTGTTCTTTGCTAATTTCTTTGAGCTCTTCAAAATTTCTAAAGCTGGTGGAACAATTCAGAACAATCAAGTTCTAAACCAAACCCAAATGATGGGCTTACCCAGAGTTGGCTCTTGGATACTCGATAACAATATGAAATATATTGGGGCTCATGAAAGTACCAAAAATAAGAAGTTAGCAACTACTTGATCATGATCTTGCTGTGTCCTTGGTGACTTGAGTGCCTAGCATTGATCTATTGAACTTACCTTGATTATGTACAACAGTATATTAAGGAGTATTAGCGGAACTGCTAACTATAAAAGTTGGTAAGGAAAATACATTTTACCCATAAAAGATACAAAGATGATATTCTTAAAATGCTTATGCTGTTAAAAAAGTGTTGTGATAATATAAAATTTTAGATGCAGAATAGTTTCTTGAATATTAAACAGCAATAAATATCAATCTTTTCAGCCTCTTAAATTAAAGCTAGATGACTAGTTGTTGTAGATGGATTAGTGAATCTTATCCATGCAATCTAACCATACTCGAAATTGACTAATTTTAAAAAAATTTATTTATCAAGCTAATTTATAAGTAAACCAGTAATTGAGATTGTTTTTATTCTAACCCATGGAAGGTCTTTTTGCCCTATCCTCTCTTAAAACAAAGGTTTCATAATGCTAGATGTTCTTCATCAGTATGATGACCAGTTATACTAATTTCATGCTAAACTAATTTTGTCATAGGTCTTATCTCCATAATTCTTACGAAATTTAATGAACAATCCTGTTTACATCTAATAAATTATGGGTAGCTTAAGCAACCATTAGACAGACTGGAGCTCTTCTAGCTTATGAGTTTGTTAGGAGCACAAAATTATATCGAAAAGACTCAGTATAGGTAGAGAAAAGATAAAAGCAGAAGATCTTCGATATAAGTGATATCTTCACAGATATTTTAGACTTGTATATTTAAAACTGAACGAAAATGGGCTATCATAAAAATATTTACATTCAGTAGATGTCCGATGTCTACTGAGGCTTTGGACTTTTTCAAAAATAACTTTCCTATTTAAAGCTCTTCTTTCATTTTACGAAAAATTTATCTATAACATTGAACTAGATTCAGAGAAACTATTATCCCAATGCACAAGCAGTGGCTGTATGGATACAATTACTAGCCCTTGTGAAAGGAAGTCAAAGCTTATATTGAGAATCTTCCTATGAAAAATATTGACTCTCTTCTAAATGACTTAATAAAAAGAATAACTATGAGAAGTTCTATCTTCGTATCTTTATTTTAGAAAATAACGCAATGCTAAGATACTGACTATTTCCTTGACAATTATTTTCGCCCAAATCTTTTAGTAATCAGGCAACAAAATTTGTGATGCAGAAGTAAGCATGTGGACCCTACCTTCTTGAGGTACTCTACTGCAGACCTATTGAGCTGGTCTATCTCTTCTACATTATAAGTGTATGGATCTTACTTTGTGGAATTTGTGCTTCTAATTCTGCGAATCTTCTATCAGTTTCGCAGAATTGGTTAGAAATCTCGAAGATTTTCATGAGAAACGATTTACTCTTCTTAGCAATTCAGTCCATATGGGCATTTCTCAATTGCGCTCTAGAAGTTATATTTCCTCTATCCCATCCTTTTTGCTGCTCCTGAAGAAAGGGCCACTGTGTCTCTAAAATAGGTATTCCACTGAAGTATTTTACCTTGGTCGATATTTTGGAGTCCTGTTCGCTGGTGACATTTATTCTGGGAAGTTTCATTTTAATTTTCGATTATAAATACTATAAATAATCTTGGGGTTTTGGGGTTTTGGGGTTTTGGGGTTTTGGGG